ATGTCCTCGTGTCACGCTTTTAAAGTTTAGTATTTCAAGAACTGTTTGAATTTGAAATAATTGAACGGCATTTTAAAGGCGACAGCAAATACTGCAATTTTATGTATTTCAATATTACATAGTATATTTTATAATTTTTTAACTTTATTTATTTATGGTAAAAATTTCCAAGTAAAAAATTGTAACTCCAAAAAAATAAAGTAAAAAGTATTAAAAATATTTTAAAATGCAGAAAATAATAGTATTTACCCGTACCTTTCGAATGCCGTTGGATTTCTTTAAATTCATCAAGTCGTTCCTGAGATATTTAATTTTAAACTTGAAACTCTAAAAAAAAGAAATTAAAAAACTTTTTTATGCCGCCGTTTTTAAAAGAATTCAAAAATAGCTCGCCCATTCTTGTTTTCTTTTTATTTATGATATATATAAACATATAAAAAGATGTAAAGTAAAATTAAAAAAATTTTTTTTTCATTTTTAAAAAATGTCATTTTAGCAATTTTTTGAATTTTACCCATATATATATGTATACGCACATGCGTGTGTGTATGTGCGTGTGTGTTTGTGTCATTTATATAATCTTATAGAAGATTATATAAAAGCCGTCACAGGAGCCATCAATCTACAAGCTAGGTGAAATAGTCTTCTTTTGTTCACACTAATTTAGTATGAAAATGCATAGCAAATATAACAGTGGATCTACATTCATTCTCATATGTATACGAGGGTGATCCGATAAGTACTTAGCCTCACCGCCCGATGGCGCCACTCTCGCAAAAGAAATATTCTATCATGTAGTACAACCTTCTCGATGGTTACTGTCAAGATTTCAGCCGGATCGGAGTCGTAGTTTATTTTTGAGAGCGTGTGAAAGCAAGTGTGTCCGTTGATTTTTGAAAAATGGAAAAAGAGCAGTATCTGCCGATGATTCGATTCTTGTTTTTGGAAGGGAAATCGCGCAGCGAAATCAAAAAGCGCTTGGATGCTGTGTACTGTGACTCTTCTCCTTCGATGGCGACCGTCAAAAATTGGTTTAACGAGTTTCAACGTGGTCGCACGTCGATGTTTGAAGAGCCACGTCCAAGTACTCCGAAAACTGCTACCAGGGAGGATAACGTGACAAAAATTCACGATCTCGTATTGGCAGATCGACGATTTAAGGTGCGCGAGATAGCTAAGATCGTAGGCATCTCAAAAAACCGCGTGGGTCATGTCCTGCATGAAATTTGGGACATGAGAAAGCTGTCATCGCGATGGGTGCCGCGTTTGCTTACTCCGGACAACAAGCGCAACCGTGAGACAACTTCAGAGCAATGTCTGAAGTTGTTTAAGCGCAATCCGAAGGAGTTTCTGCGTCGTTTTGTGATAGTCGACGAAACATGGATCTACTGGTATACACCAGAAACCAAGGAACAGTCGAAACAGCGGACTTTACTCGGCGAAAGTGCTCCGAAGAAGGCCAAGACTGCCCCATCGGCGGAAAGGTGATGGCCACCGTTTTCTGGGATTCACAAGGTGTGATCTACATCGACTACCTAGAGAGGGGCAAAACGATCCTAGGGCTGTACTATGCCGAATTATTGGGCCGATTCGACGTCGAATTGCAGAAAAAACGGTCCCATTTGGCGAAAAAAAAAGTGCTTGTCTACCATGACAACGCACCGGCTCACACCTCCGCCGTCGTCATGGCCAAATTAGTCGAATTAGGCTACGAACTGCTGCCCCATCCACCGTATTCTCCAGATTTAGCCCCGTGCGACTTCTTTTTGTTTTCAAACTTGAAAAAGTCGCTCGCCGGGCAGAAATTTGAGTCGAATGAGGAGGTAATCGCTGCTAATAAAATTTAATAAAATCAGCTTTTCTCTTATGTACCGAATGTAAAACTAACAACAACTATATACGTAAAATAAAAGCTATAGAAGACTCCATACCTAGTCGAACAGTCATATTGATATTCATTTATGATTAAATAAATGAAAATTAATGAACAGATATATGTCGATTTTAGTTTACCCTACGTAAACACAAGAAAAACAATAATATACGTTTCATCACAATATGAGAAGTATCAACAAGAAAATATTGAAGCGCGGTTCCTATTATTTTTTTGTAACTGTAAAAACTTCTGCACTACAAAAAATATAGAAAATATTAAATGACTACTAAAAAAATAATTATCCATAAATATTTACCAATTAAGCTATCAATTTCTCCTTATATATGAACTAAAAGTTCTGCTATAACTTTTAAATTTTTCTCATCCATAACAATGAATGATATTCTCATTGAAATGAACCAAAGTTAAAATATGTACTAATGAAAATTTAACTTTACAAATTGATTAGACTTAATAGTATTTGTCACCGCCATTTCAATATTTAAAAAATATTATCTAATTAATCAATTTCGACAATTTCAAACAAATATTTGCCAAAAAGGAATGGATCCATTCAATGAAAAAATGTAAACACAAACGGGAACCACAGAATCAGAACCAGCAGTATACTGTAATATCCTCGACCGATTGTACGGCGGAAATGCTTGTTGATTAATTTCTATAAATTGAGAATACCGTGGCACGAATAAGCAATTGTAAAATGTTTAGTGAATCGGTGGCATTTATTTATTAATGTTCACAGGAAGTAGGAATAGGTTCACCCGACCACACCGATTTTAATGATTTTTAGATATGTTGTAATCCTCGAAAAAATGTTCGACGCGTTTTTTTTTTATCGGTTGACACCCACTTTTAAGAGGTGAAATCCAACCCTGAAAGCTATCCAAAAAAATGGGTTTTTAATATATCTCTACGTCTAATAAATATTTTTAAATAAAATCAGTGCCAAAATTTTCTTATAAATAGGTGCTTCTACTGATATGATTTTATTTCGAAATATTTATTAGATGCAGATCTTAAAAAACCATTTTTTAAAGTAGTTTTCAGAAGTGGATTTCATCCCTTAAAAGTGGATGTCAGTCGATAAAAAAAACGTGTCGAATATTTTTTTTAATATTACAACATATCCAAAAATCATTAAAATCGCTGAAGTCGGATTGGGGTGGTTCCCTTGTTAGACTTAAACTTAAGGTATTAACTTGGACTTAGCTACTTATAAATTCTGGTTCTAGGAACATAATCGCTCTAAGCCCTAAAGATAATCCACGTTCGATTTCATTTGAAATTGTGACGTGTTTTACTCCCTTAACCCTTAAGTGATCGTTCTACATTTTAATGTTAGTCAATCAATAGATTTAAAGTTTAATGCGTTACTTCTCATACTACTCTATATTTAAACGTTATATGATGACAGGTAAAATTTATTGGTCCATAACAATATGAATGGTGACCGTAGAAAAAAAAAACTTTTTAGAAGGACATTGGAATTTTCATCATTGAATAAGTTCCGATGATATATAGATGGCGTCATATTAGGTAAATTAATTCATTACGTTGCTCGTATCTTCCAAGCAAATGAAGCAGCAACTGTAATATTTATACACAGTGTTTATGGAAATTAAACATGAGCATTGTCAGTTTAGGCATAGAAAACGCACAGCCTGAGCATGACGATGTTAAGCCTTATTAAAAATATCAATGTAATTGTCGATAAATTCTAATACAAGTTCTTTTGCAAGAATTTACTCTGTATATTAGTTTTATAGATCGAAAAACATCTCATAAATTTTACGTTAGAACTTAAATCAATTCTTAAACATCATCTTTTTTAGGAGGGTACAGTTCTCTATATTGCCCTCTATAACTGAATACTTGCTTATTTTCTTTAAGATCGTGTATATTTATGACGAGCAGCAACAATTTTTGAAAAATATTTCTGTAACATACGTTTTGCAACATCTTCAACATTTCCGGCAACCAGCAAAAATATTACGGAAATGTTGCAACAACGTTCAAAATGTCCGCCTTTGTTTCTAGACGTTCGAGAAATCATTTTTTTTTATAGAAACCATCATTCCCATAACACTCTTAAAACATTTTTGCAGTTGAGTATAAAATGTTGACTTAACGTCGTGGGCACACTTCTAGAACAAATGAATTTTAGGCCTGTAATAAATATTTTTACAATAAGCAAAAATGATTTGTTTTAGGAGAGTTACGATGAGTAACATTTTATATTTGATTGTAAAAATGTTGCAGAAATGTTGGGTAAAGTTAATCTTTAGGAAAAAAAATACCCTTTGTAATATTAAGAAAATATAATAGCAATGTTTCACGAACTTGGTATAAAAATATTATAGAAATATTACATAAAGACTGCCTCACAAAAAAAAAAATTACAACTAGCATTCCCGAAACCTTTTGGTAACTATTATTCTGAAAACAAAAACGGACATTTTAAACGTTGTGTCAATATTTCTACAACAGTTTTGTTGGTTGCTAGAAATGTTGAAGATGTTGCAAAATGTATGCTGCAGCAAAATTTTTGGAATAATTCTTGTCACTTGGAAACCAAACAACCCACGCGTATTAGCCCTTAAAATATTAATGCAGTTCTTGTCGTTTTACTAAACATTTAATATGTTCTACGAATTCGAAGCAATTTTAGTAAATGAATATTGATAAAAAATTTGTAATAATATACATTGGTTTTTTGCAGTGCTCTATATTTAAGACTTTATTGACGGTTATAGTATTTTCTTTCTATTTATAAAAATTATCATTTCAGTTGTCTAATTTAATTCAAATTTTATAGTAATATTTTACTTTCTGATAAACTAAAAAATATTAATTGCAATATAAGTCTAAATTATTATTATTATTATTATTATTATTATTATTATTATTATTATTATTATTGATGTTATAAAAGAAATAAAAAAATATCGTAAAAAATTTCTTTTAATTTTTTAACGGGGTTTTCAAAAGTAACATCATGGATCACCCTCGTGCATGCTACGTAATACTCGTGAAGAGGCTTAGAGAATATTTAATATAACATATATACTTTATTAATCACAATGACTTTTTAATTCATTATTACCTGTCATTTGAAGAGTAATTCTACAAGAATATTCGTCATCCTGAATTTTCTCATTCATAATGTATTCCGGAATCGGAAAAGTATTTGAAGTACGCTGTTGCAAATAATAATGCTCCTGATGCATTTGTAAATAATCTCGGCATGTTACGCCAATTTCTTTTCTATTTATCAATTGCATACTACATTGTCATTTCACATTTGCTGAAGTATATTAAAAAGCATTTAAACAATCATATACTTATGCATTTTTAAAGCTTATTAATCATTGGAAAGTTTGAACTGAGAGCATTTAATTTTAATACGTAATAATACAACTGTGTAAACATCACAACGAATTTTCAATAGTAAAATCCTGATAATTTCATTTCCTAATTTTATTTAAACCATCGCAAATTATTTTTACATACGTACCAAAAAATAACATAAGATCTTTAATCATTTTTGGACATATTTATCAACCGTACAATTTGATTGGTACTAACTGATAAAAATTGATACTACTGACAGTAGTAAAAGTATCAAAATGACAATAACAGTGCCGGTCAATCTACTTACGCCGCTCCAAGCGAACTAAACCAAGTATAAACTGAATTTATCCCTACTCCTGCATTTCAATTTTGATGGTCCCAATAGAATTAATTGCTATATCTATAGATATTTCGTGTACCTTTAGCTCTCTTTATCATGATTTGTTACATTTTAATGAATTATATTACTACCTTGTATTTATTTTGTTTTATTATTTATTTATAGGGCATTAAATAATATAACGGACTTATGACACAAGATTATGACAAACTATAAAAGTTTTAGGCAGTTTAAACCCGCTTTGAGCGCCTTATACATATTATCGTGTTATTAATCCTTTATAATAATTATGGCCGGAGATAAAGCGAAGTTTTGACAATTCCATAATAGTTTTATACACACTATATCCACTCCATTTAGCACTCCATCGTTATCCAAATTCATCTACAATTTAATTTTATCCTGAGTTAATGAAAGAAATATAAGTTATTCGGAATAGTTATATATTTTGATAAAGTTCCATGATTGAATAATATAATTAATATGTATTTCTTACTTGAAAATTAAATATCAACCATATGTAAATTAAAATGATTAAAATATAACTAATTGTATAGGTATACAGAATTTGTTTTTTTAAATGTTACTAAAAATATCGTGTTTTATTTCTCTCCACAGATTGTAGCTTGCCGAAATACTGTAGGAATGTTTTTGATATAACTAAAAATAATTCTGTGGGATTTTCTACGTCATATTCTTAAAATATTGCAGAAACGGTTCAGTGCAATATCCATTGACAATAATCAACATTTTTAACAAATCTTGCAGAAACATTACGATCATTATCTTATAAAAGTTTGGCAGTGTTTCTCGATACGTTTCATGATACATTATCAAAAATTTCCAGAAATTATTTATGGAATATTTTTATCATTTGGTTTGATAATACGGTTGAAACATGTTCATGTAATATTCCTCGAAATATTGATAAAAAGATTCTTAACATAAATTACTAAAATATTTGAAGAAGTTTTCTAAAACTCCTCAGATGAATATTAATTTAGATAATAAAATTAAGAAGAGAATATTCCTCAGAAACTTCGTTAAAAATATTCCTCACAACCCGGTTGAAAATAATAACGTTATTTCCTGACGTCATTCGATGACATCAAGATGACGTTATTTGATGTCAGAAATTGGAACATTTCTGACGTTATTTTTCAAAAATATTTTTTCCTGATTTTTCTCCTTAAAAATGACGTCATTTCTTAAAATCTTTGTGGATCGCTGTGTCGCCTACGATGACGTCATTTTTCAAAACCTTTTTGAATCACTTTGTCCCTTATAATGACGTTATTTTTATATAACCTTTTTTTAACCGCTTTACCATCGAGAATAACGTCATTTTAAAAGAATAACGTCATTTTAAAAAACGTTTTATTGTCGTTTCGTATCTGAAAATGACGTCAAGTGCAAACTTTTTGTTTTTCATACACAGGTCAACAATGATGTGATTTTACAAAATCATTTTTTTCTATCAAAATTTATTAAATTTTTTTAATGAAAATACATTTTTTAGTGGTATGTAGAAAAATTGCCAGTAGTCAATAGCAATTACAAAAATTATAGTTTATAACTAAATTGCAACTTGAACTTGCTCAGTACAAATGAAATGCAAGTTTGTAAAAACTACGTAATGGAAATAATATGTTCACATTTTCTCCGAACCTTTTAAAACGCTCTGAAAACTCTTTATTTTTATCACTACTTCCGTAATCGCGGTAACTATACGCATAAACCACTAACAGAATAATAAAAATATGGATTGCATCGGAGAAAACAAGTAAAAATGGAATCGAGTTAACATTTGTCGCAAACGTTAAACAGCTGAAAATAAAATATTTTATATTTTATAGAGAGCGAAAGAGCCTTATTGCATTGTAGTACATATATCATATCAGTCCTATACGAATGTATGATATTAGATTTTTTTTGTTCAACTTGAACTGAGACTTCTGCTACAAAAAACATTCTTGGAAAAGTTGTTAAAAAAATGAAATGGAATGCGAATTTACATTAACTAATTATAACTGAAAGACGCTTCATATTTGTCAAATTATAGAATTACAGTATCGATTTTTTTTTCGTCTACTTCTAGTTAAAATAATAAAAAAGTATAACATCCTCCACATAAAATAGAAATAATATTCATCGCACTAAAACAACAAAATATGGAATTTTTTTACTGGTATCAAGAAAAACGGTATTTCACACGAAACGGAGAGAGGAAGAAGCACAGGCATCAATATCGATTACAAAAATCTTAAATTTCAAAATATAAACTCTAATTTGATGTTTCATCAACTCGAAAATAAATAAATATAAATAAATACATGAAAAAATGTGATTAAGCATCAATGTCACGTGGATCACCTTCTTCTTCTTCATTGTTGTCACGATTACAAAATTCGTGCAGCAAACCATTTTTTTCCGCGGCGAAATAATCCGTACGAATTTGGCTTATAACTATGCCCAGTTGACGACCAAATCCTTTTATAATCTGTTCACGTTTTGCATCTTCTTGAGTATTGGTTCTTCTAGCCGTTATAATTTTTGCTTTTACCAGATACTGAAGCCAAACTTCTGAAAATTAATAAAAAAAATTTCATTATTATTGAAAATACGACTTAATTTTAAGATAAAAAAGGTCTTACTATAGAGAACATTGTATTCTCTTGACGGCACATATTTACGGCCAGATGCTACTTGGGTTCGGTTAGGTTGTATAGCTAAGGTAATACACTCTTCTGGGTCAAACATCTGAAGCATAAGATTCTTCAAAAACAGCTTGTGTGTTTTCTCCTGCAAAGCGCTACGCCAACCAGTTACTTTAACTGAAACGCCATAATGAAGGTGAATCATGTCAGTCTGAAATAATAAGAAAGAAGTTATATATTTCAAACAAAGAATTGGAACGGTTATCATTACGTGATAATGGATACTTACATTAGTTTCTTTATTGGTATCTGGATTCACAGTTTGCTTGGTCCATGGAGACATGGATTCACGAATTTGTACGCCCGCCTTTTTGTAATCATCCAATGTATACGTGAAATCGTGTTTTTTTTTTAACGTACTTTGCTGTCTTAGGCTTCTTGACTTTGGGCTCATATGCATTTTCTTCAAGTTTCACTTGTACCTCTGCCGATGGACTTTTCGTCTGGACGTTGATGTTGTCTCGTGGTTTGACAATATCAGCTACATTTAGAATTGGGCTATTCTGTGTCGATAATCTTGGACTTCTTCTTGTCGGAGTCATTGCTGCAACAAACAATTGATGTCAAGTAAATACGAAAATAAATATATTGATATAGGAAACTTACAGTATCCTGGCGACAGGGATGAAGTTGTCGCTTCCACCGTGCTGTCATTGTTTTCAGATGTATTTTTCACATTTCGAGGGCTTCTTCGAGAAGGAGGAGTTCCTGCAATGAAGAAGATCGAATGAAAATCAAATATTATTGAATAGAATCACAGTTAGATAATGTGTAACATACCCAACAGTAACTTCTTTGGTGTTAGACAAGACCGACGTCCACCTGTTGATTTGCTGTATGTATCATAATTGCTGCCTTTTTTCGGAGCTGAACTCCTTCCAACAGCACTGCTTGTCATATTTCGATTTTTCTCTCGCTCTTTCTGTAATTCTTTCATCAGTAAATCTATTTGTGCATCTTTATCTGCCAATTCTAGAGCAAGACGCTCATCTTCCTTCACGTTTTGTGCAGTACCAAAGTCCAAATCTTTATCAGGTATTCTACCATGGCAATCTTTCAGTGCTTCTCCGAAATTAGAAGGAACTGCCGGTATCTACGGCACATAGAAACGCAAAGAAATGAATATTACGAAATTCTAATATGGTTATAATATATATTTTGTTTTGTTTTACTTGTGACGAAGTTGAACATATTTCCTAAGTACTGGTTGTGGAAGCAATCCTTTCATCACCTTTGCGTTTGGTCGATTTGCTCTTTTCCCGTACCTGCACTTCATCAACTATCACATTGTTGAGAGTCAATTGTTGTAAAACTTCACTTTTTCTCAGATTTGGTTTTCGCCATCTTAGTTGCCTAGTTTCCAACTCCGTTTTGTCGTCTAAAAATGTGAAAAGAAATTTTCAATATATATACAAACATATACAAGTATTTTGATGTAAACTTTACAGTAAAGTTATCATTTTACTAACTTGATACACCAAGAACATCACCAGGTTCATACACAATGTTCTTATCCTCATCCTCGCCATTGGCAATGAAAGCAACATATGGGAAGTCTTTACGTTCTGGATCGAATTCTTTTATGTCTTGAACAGAAATAAATCGGACATTTCGATTTCCAATGTAAATTCGTATTGCAGCGTACAATACTTGTGCGGCTCCTTCATCGGTTTTCTATGCAGCGTCAGATTCGTTGTCCGAATAGCCACTTTCCGCTTTTGCTGACATGATTACCTACTATAATAACGGAAAGACACAGGTAAGTAACTTGTTATTACCTTTCGATTGTATTATTTGATTCCCTAACATATGAATTTCAATTTTTTTTCCATTCTTTCACATTGTCATGACTATTTCTATTTCACTCTAAAATCAATTCATATAATTTTGTAAATGACACTTATCACATTTTTTTACAAAAGTATTTCCACGAACAGCCTCATTGATAATTTTTTTGGCAAAAAGGTGGATTTACCTCTATTGGAAAAATCAATTATGATTTAAGGTGGGTTTCTACCTAAAATTCTATTTTCTTTAAATTCTAATTTCCCATTAAATAAGCATATTAAGCTGTTTTTCAAGCCTAATTTCAAAATGTTCCATGCGCATACTACTTTGACCAAAATAATTGTTAGTGGGCTTATTTTGTTCGATGAAGCAAACCTTACAAAAGTTACTTAAAATTTTTCATCGAAACCCATCTCCAATTGAAATAAGTCATAAAATCTGAATTTAATCTGAAAAATT